AGTTTCAATTTAGAAGTAATTCTGAACATCGCAGAATTATATTCAGAAACAGACTTAAAGTCTTGGAGCCTCAGATGAGCCCGATCATATCGTGCTTGTGGAAGAGTGACCAACTTTAAGTTGTCATATCTTTCTTTTAAGCCATTCCACAAAATAAGTGGATCTTTGACTGTGAGATATTCAATTTTCAACCCTTCATCAAGGTGATGGCGCAAGAAAATCAAGGCCTTAGCACAGTCTTGGGTGGATGCTTTATTTCTGTCTTTAATGGCGTCTCCAAGACCCATTGCATCTAAATGGATTTCAGCATCCAACACCCATATCATATAGTTCTTGCCCGAAATTTCAAGGGCAACGAACTTTCTTTTCATAATGTCAGCCATAATTAAAAAGAGGAGAAAAATTACTTTAATCTTCTCAAAGAGCTTCTTGAGACGGTAGAGTCTCGTGCTGATAACGTGTTATAAAATAATGAAAGAATAAGAATAATATTGCAGAGAAAAGTAGAGAGAGAATTCTTATTAATTTGGGATGAATTACAATGGAATAGAACTCTCTATAGGTTGACTTAGCCACCAAGTAATAAACCCTAAAATCTCTCTAAATATGAACATTCGCCATAAATAGAATTCTATTTATAACAATAATAATGTAATACAAAAAACAAGACTTCCAACAAAAACTAATATAAATAAAACAGAAAGCATAGTAAGTGTATATCACAAGTAGTGATGACCAGTTGATTGGCAGAGAAGCAAAGAAATGCTCTGCTGCTTCACACCCAAATTTCCTTTTCCATTTCCCCTTGATCTTTCATGTATTAAACCCCCCAGAAGTTAGAGAGAAATGGAGGCAAGTGCAGGAATGGTTGCTGGATCACATAAGAGGAATGAATTGGTTCGAATTCGCCATGACTCTGATAGTGGGGTATGCTTTTGGAAACTACCCTTTTCATATTTTCAGTTAAAAACTTGTTTCTTTATTCTCTTTTTAGTCTAATGTGGCGTTTAGATCTAATGTGTAAATGTGTAATAGTGGGAGTTAGGATCTTTCCTTCTGCTTTTTCAGCTACTGAATTTCTAATAAATTTCAATTGAATGTGGTGTTCAGATCTAATGTGTGAGTGTGTAGCAGTGAGATATTGTAAAAGGTTGGGATCGTTGAGCTGATTTAGGATAGAGAAGTTGATCATCTTGAATTTGAAGTGTTCAGATTAGTTTTCTTTTTGATGAAGTAACAGTGAAGCATTGTTGGTGTTGGGTCAGTGTTCAGATTTGTTTTCTTGAGAATCTAAATTCGCAAATTTCCTTGAATTTGGTTACACATTGAGTCTTGGTTGAAGTGTAGACTGAGCTTTAGGTCAATATCAGGATTTTCTATGTGATTCAGTAGGAGATTGATGTATTTTCGAGTTTAGTAGTTGTTTAATAGGGTCTTTTCATAGTTGAGCTTGATCTGGTTTTGTTCCAATTTTGATCATTTAAGGTGTACTAAATGTGTCCCGACATTGCTAGGATAGATCTCATTGCTTTATCCGTAGTTTTAGGTTACTTGATACAACACTGATCATCAAATGGTTGAATCTGATTAATACTTGATTGCGAGTACTGTCCTTCCAAAATCAGCCTCTGAATTCAATTAATGTACAATTGAGTAGGTTTGTGGGCACTTATTGTTCAATTCATTGCGTTCCTGTTTGCTTTAATTGATTGTTGTGAATGCAGCCGAAACCCATTACGCCTCTGAACAGTCAGATTTGCCAAATTTGTGGTGATACTGTCGGATTGAATGCCATTGGTGATGTCTTTGTTGCTTGTAATGAGTGCGCATTTCCTGTTTGCCGGTCTTGTTACGAGTATGAACGCAAAGATGGAAATCAATCATGTCCCCAGTGCAAGACAAGATACAAGAGATATAAGGGTGAGATTTCCTGAATAAGTTGTCTAAGATTCTTTTCCTGCTTCATTTGAGTTATTATTTCTGTTTCTAAGATGAACATTAGTTAATTGGTTGTGCAAATATTAGGGTGTCCACGAGTGGATGGAGATGATGATGAAGATGATGTTGATGACATCGACAATGAGTTCAATTATGCCCAAGGCAATAGCAAGGCCAGACGCCAAACTGAGTTGTGGTAGCACGGCGTCACGACCGGAATTTCCTAACGTCGGGATCGTGATGGCTCCTAACTTTTAGGATGCTAGGCAAGCCAACAGATAAAGATCTAATACGCTAACAGTTGTCCAAAACAGTAAATAACATAGTTTAAACCAAACAAGTAAGGAAGTG